ATTAAATAAATATACTTTAGGGATTGTTAAACTAAATAAAAATCATTTAGGGATTGCTAGAAAAGGTGCACGCTGAACCCAGGGGGCATCCAGGGGGGCGACGACTGGCTCTGCCTGGGGAGGGGAAAAATCATCAGAGACTGGTAAAATATCCTTGAGGGATTGCTAAAATACCCTTTAGGGATTGGTAAATTAAATAAATATACTTTAGGGATTGTTAAACTAAATAAAAATCCTTTAGGGATTGGTAAAAAGGTGCACGCTGAAGCCAGGGGGCATCCAGGGGAGCAATGACTGGCTCTGCCTGGGGAGGGGAAATAAAACATTAGAGACTGGTAAAATATCCTTTAAGGATTGCTAAAATATCCTTTAGGGATTGGTAAATTAAATAAATCTACTTTAGGGATTGTTAAACTAAATAAATATCCTTTAGGGATTGCTAAAATATCCTTTAGGGATTGCTAAAATATCCTTTAGGGATTGTTAAACTAAATAAAAATAATTTAGGGATTGTTGAAAAATCCTTTAGGGATTGCTAAATGAAAATCCGTTAGGGATTGCTAAAATATCCTTTAGGGATTGTTAAATTAAATAAATATCCTTTAGGGACTGCTGAAATATCCTTTAGGGATTGGTAAAATATCCTTTAGGGATTGTTAAATTAAAGAAATATACTTTAGAGATTGTTAAATTCAATAAAAACCCTTTAGGGATTGCTAGAAAAGGTGCACGCTGAAGCCAGGGGGCATCCAGGGGGGCGACGACTGGCTCTGCCTGGGGAGGGGGAAAATCATCAGAGACTGGTAAAATATCCTTTAGGGATTGCTAAAATATCCTTTAGGGATTGCTAAATGAAAATCCGTTAGGGATTGTGAAAATATCCTTTAGGGATTGTTAAATTAAATAAATATCCTTTAGGGATTGCTGAAAAATCCTTTAGGGATTGCTAAAATATCCTTTAGGGATTGCTAAATTAAATAAATATACTTTNAATTCCTTTTTTCTCCTTTAATTTCCTTTTTTTTCCCCAAAAAATTTCGCCTTTTCCCCCCAAATTCCAGTAATTTCCCCCCCTCAAATCCCACCTGCTCTCATCCCGTCCCCTCTCAACTCCACCGCGCCACCACCTGACAAAACACAGCACACACCAGCTCAGTTTTTTCATTTTTCTTTTTTTTTTTATCTAAAAAAAAAGGTTTTTCGTATTTTTTTCCATTTTTGTGAGTTTTTTTGTGTTTTTTTTTTTAAAGGCTGGGCGAGAGGTAGGATAAAAAAGGGCGTTTTTTGGCCTCTGATAGATGAGGTTTGGGAGCTCTTCTCACCTTCACTCCCTTGTGAAACACACCTGGGCTACGGAGGGAATTTTACACAATGGATTAAAAACTTTATATTCCAAGAGATAGCTCATATCCACAAAAAAAAGAAGGATCAAAAAAAAAAGGAAGATTTGAGGCATAAATCACATCAAAAGGCTCCTTTGTGTCCTACCTTTAAATAAGGAAAACGTACAAAAGTGGCCGAAGGTTGTGCAAAAATTCTTCAATTTGCTCGGAATATTTTACAGAATCAGTACAGGAAAATGTAGAAATCAGTAAAAAATTAAAAAAAAAACCAACCAAGCCCTGGAGGGATCTGTTTTAGCAACAGGAATTTTGCTGTCCCAGGGTGGGAATCTTGGCTCATGTGGGGAGATTTGGGCACTTTTGAGTCCCTTTTATTTTTATTTTTATTTTTGTATTTTGTTTTTTTTTTTTTTTTTTTTTCCCCAGCATAAGGCAAAAACCCAACCCTGAAAACCACACTGAGATCCACAAGAAAAGGATGTAAACGAAGATTTCTCTGGTAACAAAAGCCTCCTATAAGAGGCTCCTTTCAAACAGAGCTGTGGGGCTGAAGGCACCTCCACATCCCCACACTTTTGGCTTCTTTTGGGGTGGTTTTTTTTTCCCCAGCTCTTTCTGAGGGAAAAAAATCCCAAAAAAAAAAAACAAACCCCCCAAGAATGACTTTGTGCAATTCCTGCCCCCGATTCTCAGCTGAGGCAGCCGAGTCCCTGCAGTTTGTGTTTGTAAAAAAACACATTAAAAATAAAAATAAAGCCAAAAATAAAAAGAGCGAAGGCGGCGGCGGTGAGGGCGATCCAGCATCCGGGGTGGCTCTGGGGTGAAAAGGGAGGGGTTTGGGTCAATCT